GCCCCACCCGCGTCGAGGCGCTCGCGCACGCGGCGATCGTGGAGGTCGCGTGTGGGAGCTTCCACACCGTCTTCGTCGCGCGCGACGGGGTGGCGTACGCGTGTGGGGATAATCAGGCCGGCCAGTGCGGCGCGATCGGCGCCTTTGCGGTGCTGCAGCCGCAGGTGATGAAGGTCGCCGGCGAGCGCGCGGTCGTCCACGCCGCGTGTGGGCGACTCCACACCCTTTTGCTGCTCACAACGGGGGAGTTGGTGGCGTACGGGTCGGGGATCGCGCTGGGGATTGGCAGCGGCTACGGCATCCGCCTCGTTCGCTGCCAGCGGCTGCTGAGCAACTTCACGACGATGTGGATGACGTGCGGGAAGAGCCACTGCTTCGCGATGGCCTTTCCGAAGATCACGACGATGATTCTGCTGGGGATGCCCCACCGCGGCGTCAACGCGGCGGTCCTCTGCAGCGGGCTGAAGGACGGCATCATGGCCTGTGGCGCGGGCAACGGCTTCACCCTGTTGATCAACCGTTGTGGGGGGCTCTACGGGTTTGGGGTGGATGGGTGGGGGCAGCTGGGGTTCAGCGCGGCGGAATCGTGCGCGTTGACCCCGGATGGGGTTCCCGTCGTCTCGAATGCCCTCCGGGTTCCCTACTTTGGTCGCACCTTCGTCACCTCGGTGGCGGCCGGGTTCAGCTTCGCGCTCTGCATCATCGAGGGCGAGCGGGTCTACGCGTGGGGGAATAACAGCTACGGGCAGTGCGGGCTCGGCGTGGATCCGAAGAAGTGGAAGCGCATTTCGCAACCCCGCGAGGTCAGCTGGTTGGCGGATAAGCAGATTGTGCAGGTCGCGTGTGGGAGCTACTTCGCCCTCGCCCTGCGTGCAAGCGGGGAGGTGTACAGCTGGGGCGCGATCGAGTGCTGTGGGGTGGGGCTGAACCCCACCAAAGAGGAGGTGCCGCCGCATCTCATCATGCGTGACGTCGGCGAGGAGAGCTCCGGGGTGATCCTCCTGCCGGTTTTGGTTGGCAAGCTGTCCAATATTATTCAGGTGGCCGCGGGCGGCTGGCACGCGCTCGCGCTCAACGCCATCGGCGAGATCTACACGTGGGGCTTGGGGGATGGCGGGCGCCTCGGCCTCGGCCACCTCAACTCCGTTTTTCACCCCACGAAAATCCTGCACAACAGCTTCTTTACGCGAATTAACTGCGGCTGTTATAGTAGTTACGGCATCGACGACGACGCCCGACTCTTTGTGTGGGGTGTGAACGACGCAAAGCAGCTGGGGTTGGGCGGCGGGAATGTTTTGGTGCCCACGTACGCGCTCAGTGGTGTTGCGGACGCCGCGCTCGGGAAGTCCTTTACGCTGGCGCTCACCTTTAGCGGGACGTTTCACATGTCCGGCACGATGGAGTTTGACGATGGATTGGTGTGTAAATGCTCGGGGTTTGATGATACGGACAACCTCCCAAGCTTTATCAAATCCTCGGGGCTGACTCGGGAGCGGCTTAAGGGGATCCGAATCTTTGGTGGTCATGAACATGTGGTGTTGTTATGTGAAAAGAACCCAATCGAACCTGACTTGATTGCTGCGGCCACGGATGCCTTGCGTCACCAACCTGAACGCATTATCGCCGGAAAGTCCATGTAAAGTGTTGAGGCAGCAATCGACATAGCTGGAAGATCCATTTGAAGACGACTCGAGCAGCACTTGATCCTGCAAAAAACAAACAGACAAATGAACAAACAGCAAGAACCGTAGCGATTGGCAATTCTTCACCAAGAGGAAAAATGGAGGTAGACTAAGCTTGGGGCTCTCCCCCTCGCCATTTCCCCCCGTTTTTTTTCGGCCTCCCTCTCCCCTTCTCCTACCTAAGGAAAAATGAAAAGAAATGATGCTCATTTAAAGAATTTGCGTTTCCTGAAAGGATCACGAACTTTAAAAGTTTGAAGTGATACGGCACTTAGGTAATGTGAAAATGATGTAAAGCAGTTTATAGTTCTCATGTCTTGTGCTGGACCCCATTCCTTGCTGTCAAGTTTTTATAATCTTATTGCGGTACAATTTCGTTTTTCTTTTTTCAGTTTCGTGAGTGTACACATGCACACACCAATGAACAACTTTCCCTTTGTGATGTTTTCTGTGCCACTTTGTTTCCTATTATTCTTATTGGTATGGGTTTAGTTCCCATCACGTTTCTTCTTGATAGATTTAATGGTGGAAGTAACATGAATCTTTTTTTTTGTGGACTTGTTCCTTTTTTTCTTGATTAAAACTATTGTTTTCCTATCTTTGTATTCATTATTGAGATATGGGGGTGTATCTGCCATTGCTTTTTTTCGCTGTATGTGTGTATGCAACATAGGGTGACGTTGCTTGCGCTACTTCTTGTTATGGCCAAGCATATTATATCTATTTGTTCATCGGCCTGTCTATACTTATCCCACTTTCTTGGTTGAGTGATATCTATATATTGTTTATATTCAAAGCAAAGTTAATGCCATGCATAGTTACATATTTGTATGTCCCTTCTCTTTTTTTTCCAAAGTTGTGGGCGTCTAAGCACGACGTTATAAACGCATCTTTGCTTTTTTTTTGCATATCATTTTCCTAGGGGAGGTGAATGAAGACCGTTTTTTTCTGTTTATCCACAACGGGGTCTGGGGATATTGGGACATAGGAGTAAGGGAGAGAGGTGGGACGTAAATGTAAGATGTATAAATTTAGTAGTAGTGAGGGAAGAAATGTCACGCGCAAAAAGCTTTTTAGTATGAATAAGTATATTGTTCTTACTCATTTGCCTTTTTAAAAATGTTTCTTTCGATTTCATTTTTATCGTTTCTTTACAAGCAGTTTGTTGGTTAGGGGGATTAGAAGGGAAACATTAATGGAATGGTGCGGCGTTGTGTGAAGGACTCCACTATTCTTTAATGAGATACAGTGCATGGATTTTGGTATGTGATTCCATGTTTCATAGCCTCTCACGCAAGTTAATGCGGGGTTTTCGTACCTCTGAAAATGTTTAACGCGTTTAATTGGTTTCTAAACTTGAGAACGTTCATATTTTTTCTCCTGACATTTATTATAGTTGCTATTGTGGTTTTCTTCGCGTGTGGATCTACATGTCTACCCTTTGATTATTATTTGAAATAATCCCCCCTAAAAACTAAAAGAATTGTTGACATGCTTATTTTCGTATGTATCTTCACATTGTTATAGGCTGATAATATTTATCCATTGTGGTTATTTTCAGGATTATTTTTTTTGAAGACGAGGGCAGCT